TCAGGTATCTACTGTGTACAACATAATAACAACAAGTAGAGAAATTACTCCTTCAAGGAGCTGGCAGCACCTCTTTCTATAAGACAAGCAGTCACATGGTTGCAACATACAGGTTATAGTATGATGAATAGCATAAAAGTGCAAAGTAAAAATGTTAACATGTTTTTTAACTTGGGGAATAATTCTGTGTTCTTTTTAGTGTAAAAAAGAAGATACAGTTTGACGAAACAAATTCTGCATTTAAAGAGCTGAAGTTTCTAACACCAGTTAGACGTTCTCGGCGTCTTCAAGAGAAGACTTCTAAATTGCCAGATATGTTAAAAGACCATTATCCTAGTGTATCTTCACTGGAACAGTTAAGAGAGTTGGGAAGTGACACTGATGCTTTCGTGTGCCGCCCCAACGTGGCCCTGTGCCGCATGTACGTGGAGACTGACCCAGGAGAAGAGAAGTGAAGGTCTGACGAGGAGAGGATGGGGTTTTTATTATTCCGAGGGTGTTCCGTCAGTTTGTCTGTTGTGCCTTTGTACCTCCCTTAGATCAGGAGTTGCCAGGGACCTAAGTATTCATGGCAGTAGGTGCTTTTACTAGTGTTCACTTTATAGCAGGTGTTACCTTCTGTGTGTGATAAGCTAATCCTACCTTGTCAATCTCAGTAGACTGAGTTTTTCCCTAAAGCAGGTAAATTTTGTCGAGACAGATTTAGCTTACTTTTTTGCCCAGTGCTAGTCCCCCAGACTGCTGTGGTCCCCGTGTGCCTTGGGCTGCCCCTGGTTCTTCGTTGCCACTTTCCACCAGTGCCAGTGAGTCTGCACCTGTGGTCTCTTGGCCTCTTTTGTTGTAACTGAGGTCACCAAGAGAGACAGTTAACTAAATACTCCATTTCTAAGAGAAGGTGTTCAGTGCTAAGAAAGAAAATGTGCCAAACTTAGTGGGTGTTCGGAACTTTAAATCTGAGTTCCTTTTTTTATTTCCTTTTGTAACTTGACTATCCAAAATGTTAAAATTTTAACTTCCATTGCTTCATTTGATACAGTTTATAGACTATTAGAATGGAGATAAAGAAGGAATATATACTATTTAATGAATGTCATTCTAGTTTAGATAGTATTTCTAAAATAACTAACACTTAAAATTGACTTCTTCCTTATAATATAAAAACTTCACCGTTAAATCATGTCTCCTAAAACATGATAGTCATACACACTAAACAGTTCTCTCTACACATAAATACCACCAATAAAATCATTTTATAAGTCTCTGAACTAATACTTAAATGGCACACATCCTCTACCAAATCTATAGTTTCAAATAAGGATTTGGTCATTATAGAAGATTATATAGCTTTAAAACTGCTTAAATGAACGTGGTGAAAATCACATTTGTGTTCATTAAATTCTATTTGTAAAACACCTATCTTTTTTCTATTTATTGTCTTATGTTCTAGAGAGTAGAATTTTTACTCCTTTTTAAGTTGTGTACCTAATATGTATACAATAAAATATCTATATAATGATATTTCAGTGACATTTTTTTCAACAAATATAAAATGTAGTTTAACCACAGTGAATAAATTTGAACCTTGCCTTTGAAAACATTCTGATGAGATTTGACTTAAGGTTTTTCAATACTTAAAAAAGTGTGTGCATAATGGCGTATTTCCTTTTGAAAAATTATCGATGTTCTCATCTAAAAACTTACCTTAATTTTCATCTTAATTCTTTAGTTTTTTTATACTTTGTATGAATGGCATAAAATACGCCATTCTGAAATAAATTTGAGGCTGGCCTATACTCTCAGTTTTGTAATATCTGTACCATATGGTTCACTTGGCAGATAGCATAGCTTGAAATATCTCAGTGAAAGAGAGCTTGAGATAAACTATTCCATGTTTGGACAGGCTCTGTAGAGTGCTGCTTTTCCCTCCTCCCTTTACGAAGGGAAAATCTATCTAAATAATCATAGTTCTAACATTTATAGACGTAGTTCTAACTCCTTTTCAGATGAGTAAGAACAGTTACGTAGTTATGTGTCTGACCTAGGTTTGTTCCAAGCTAAATATCTTTAAGAATGTGATGTATGAAGTATGAGCCTTCGAGTCCAACAGACCTACATTCAGAATCTCAGCTGCTACCTTCTCTTAAAAATTATGTGACCATGGAGAAGTTATTCAGATGAACCTCATCTTTCTGAAGGGTAAGATGGAATAGGCTCCTTTGGTCATGTTGTATCATTTTATCTGCCTGTCCCCCCGTTTCAGTGGCCAGAATGTGCGCTGACTCAAGCTGGACTGTCAGAGTCCTTTCCGTAGGTATTTGTAATCAGGACTGAGAATTAGTCTTTTCTATGTAATTAGACCTGAGAAATGTAAATAGGTGGCACTGGGTGACCATAAGGAGGTTGGGGAGAAAAGTCACCAGTCACCAGAGAGGACAATGAAGTTATTACTACCCAGGGAAAAGCAGAGACTCCTGCTGGGGTTTTCTAGAGCCTGTCAGTGCTGTATCCAAATATTTTCTTGTTAAATTTCAATACAAATACAGCAAAATTCCTCTACTCCCATCCACTACCCTTAAATGTAATATTAATAACGGCAATCTTCCAAATCCTTTTCTGTATATTTACCATGCATACACAGACATAAATACATATAAATGTGTGTGCATGTGTGTGAATTTTGTTTTTCTATGTCAGATATAAATGGTGTGGTTCTGCACTTTCTAAGTCATAGGAACTTTTCATTGATGTAGATCAATGTAACGTTCATTTAGACTACATGGGGGTTTAGTAAATGATAAAATACACATTTCAAAACAGTAGAGAAAAGCTGTGAGTCAGTTATGCATCCATTTTGAAAACAAGAAATTTCAATCTCTACACCACTTGCAAAAATAGATTCCAGGTAGAAGAGACAGTATATTAGAAGAAAACAAAATTTTTTCATTAGGACCTGGAGGGCTTTCTTAAGCAAGACGCTTTTATAAAGGAATCTTGAACACTAAAAGGCGTGGCGGAGCTGATGGAACTTAGCAGCGCTCAGTAGCAGCAGGACCAGCTCCACCTCTGTGGGGATCAGTGCAAGACATTCAGGAGCCAGACCAGCTACCACACCTGAGATCTTCAAAATTCCGTGAGAAAATGGATTGTGACACTAGAATGTTATGCCCAAGCTATCACGCAAATTTGAAGGCAAAACAGCGGTAATTTTCAAACATGCAAGGATTCAGTTTACTGCTCGTGAACCTACCTGAAAGTATTTCTAGAGGTTTTTATTCCAGTGAACTAAAAAGTAAATCTAAGATTTTAAAAACTTGTTAAGCACAACAAATCCAAAAAACAGTGAAATCTGCACAACTGCAGATTATAAAACATTATAGAAAATGAAGACACTCCAATGATTTCAACAGGAGGTGTCAAGGACAGAAAAAAAGAAAGTAGATAATTAAAGCTAATTATCTTGCTAATAAGCTTGTCATGTTTGGATGCAGGATACAGAAATTCATGTTTATTTTGTCTAAGTAGGGGTTTAATTATTAAAAATATAAAATGTAAGGGTAAGACCCAGCAATTCCATCCCCTAAGTGTCCAAGAGAAACGACATGCCCCTACAAGACTGTACACAAAGCTGTTATAATAGTCTTATTCATATTAGCCCCAAGCTGGAAACAACCCAAAAGTCCATCAACTGGTGAATAAAAGAATACTGTATGACATACAGTCAATGGAAATAAAGCCAGGGAAACACATTAAGAAAAAGGAGTGAACTACTGATAAACACAGCAACATTGATGAACCCCAAAAACATACTAAGTAAAAGAAGGGAAACACAAAAAAATTATCTACTATATGATTCCATTTATGTGAAATTCTAGAAAAGATAAAACTACGTGTATTGACAAAGCAAATATTTTTTAAATGTTAAATTGTTAGGATGCCCAATGACCTCTGAATCTCAAAGTTAATTTTCCTAAGTTCCTAATAAGATAATAGTTTCACATTCCAGGGCTTTTTTTTTTTTATCTCAACTAGACCTTCCCCCTGCCTCTAGTATTTTCAGCCTCTTTCCTTCCATTGGTTTATTATCCCTCAACATAACTATAGCTTCCCCATTAATAAAATACTCCCATAATCTTATGTTTCCTTCTCCTCATGGTTATCACCCTCTCTCCTTCTTTTCATGAATAAGTATCTTGAAAGTATCCTGCACTCCTTGATTCTTCTGACCAACCCACCTCAGCTACCACAATCTGGTTTCTCCCTCATCACATCACTGAGACCACTTTCTTCAAGATTACCCATGACCTTCTGTTGCTACATCCAATGGGCCCTCCTCAGACTTTATACCTTGGTCAGCTTTTTTCACTGTTCATCACTGCAACGTCTCTAACATTATTGCAGTGTGGTGGTTAAGGGTCAGGCTCTGAAGCCATACTTCCTGGGTTTTAATTCTAATTCTACCACTTATTAGCTGTGGGATCTGAGGCAAATAACCTCTCTGTACCTCAGACATAATTCTA